ATGAGACGTTACACTGTTCCTAAAATTAATTATGTTCGCTACTCCGGATGTAAAATCTAATCATGACGTAATACTGACATTGAAAGTTGAGAAATGGTCACAGAGATTGAGTTCTTCATTCTGCAGTACAATTGAGAAATTGATAGAAATGTGGTTTCGCCCGAAGACGGGAAAGAAAATTCAATCTTTGCTCCGTCGAAAGGGAATCGTCAAGAAAGTTTCAATGTAAACACCACTCATAACAATGCACAAAAGATCTGTAGCACTGGCGAAACTCACTGCTTCGTCCTGGAAACGTTCTTTGGAGAAGTAATGATAGAATGGGAGGCAAATATGGGCAATGCGGTCAACTGAATGTTTTCTTGTGTTGATGAGAAACATGTTATATTGATTGTAAAATCTTTGCAGTGTGGTGAAATCTGACAGGTAGGTGTTGGTGATGGCTCAGAGTAGACTGTTGTACACAGCTATGCTCTTGTATAAAAGTATCAAGCATCATTCGAGTATTATAAACTGCTTTTCTGAATGGTGCTTAAATATGCAGTTTCTATATGATGCTTATGTTGCTGTTTCTGGTTTAAAACTTCCTTTAATTTTGTGTAAATATTGTTCATTTTTCTTAGGTTCCTTCTGTTTGTAGGGCAGAAGGCGTCCTGTTCTCTTTTGGAGTAAAACAGGTATTTTGTCGATGTTCAGAACTGTTTAGGGAGTTCTGATGTTGGGATAAAGACTAATGGGACTAATTGGGACTAATTTTATTTGTTTGGAGTGTTGATGCTAGGTTTGTAATCAATTGGGAAGATTGCCTAATGACTGTAAGCTCTGGTCCATGACATAAGTCGCGTATGTTGTGAAGCTAAAACTTCAGTGTATAAATTAGGAGGGTTTTGTATTGGTGTTTTTGAGAGGGTTTGTCATTTTCAGTTCTGCATAGTTTTAAATGCATTGTATTGACGGGTCAGGCAATGGCAGTTTGGGCTTTGTGATTTTTTGTTACTATATTCCCTTTTCGTTGGTCCCCTTTTTCAAGAGCGACATCGAAAGACAAGCACAAAATATAATTAGCAAAAAATTGTATAATTGTAAATGCTCGAATTATTACAAATTCAGAAGTACAAATAGTAGGGCAACATGGGGCAGCGCGCCCCCTCCTTTTTTTAAACTAAATTTTTGATGAAAGTTTAATTGATACGAGGTGGTTCTTTGTTTTGCTTAAAGGTGCAACTAATGAGGAATGTATGATGTGAATTAGACGCCTATAGAGTTATTCAATTTTTAATGAAACACTATTTGTAAAAAGTGTCATAATGGGCCCATTGCCTCACCCCTGGGGCAATGGGCCCATGGGCTTGGGGCAAGGCGCCCACCCTTGGTCCCTATACCACAATTGCATATTTTTCGTTTAAAAATGATAAAACAACACTTTACAGTTAACAATAAGAAAACTGTAATAAAAAATATGACATTCATTCATTTATTAACAACTCAAAAAATCATATGCTTAACTTGAAAAATATATACTCTTGGCTTAAAAAATCTTTCACTGACGTGAAGAAATATAATTCATTGACATAAAATCTATATCCTTGACTTGAAAAATATATCCTTGTGATAAAAAATTCGTCCTTGACACGAAAAAATGTATCCTTGACCAGAAAAAATATATTTAGTTGATCAGAAAAAAACTTCGTTCCAATTTCGTCCATAATCCAGATATTATGTGCAGAGAATTCGTACCTAATTGTGATTTCAGCCAACACCATAAAAACTCGTCAACTTTTGGCTCGTTGGTGTTGACTGAAATCAACTTTTGGGAAGGCAAGAGTCAATAACTCGATAAGGGGTCAAATACGCATAGAAACTAAAACTGCTGCCTTGAGGCGGCAAATAAAAAAATCATGCAATATGAAGTGTAATTTGTAATTCAAAAAACTAGTCATAGTTTTGAAAAGGTCATTGAGACAAATCTAATGATGTATAACACAAGACTTCACCATGGGCGCTTTGCCTCGTGACACGCGTGGGCCCGTTGCCCCACTAGGTATCATTTCAATTTACAGTGGGGGGAAATAAATATTCGTACACTTGAAAAATCGTATTTTAATGTATGTAAGTACACAAACTTAACAGGAAAAGTGATTTAAATTATGTATAGAGACGCATAGTATTCAAAAATACTATCAAAAGAAATTAAATCTCAATGCAACAAAAAAACAATGCAACATGTTCACTTCATACATTAAAATACGATTTTTCAAGTGTACGAATATTTATTTCCCCCCACTGTATATCGTGTCAATATTTTATTTTAAAAGCTAATAGTCTAAAATTGATCTCAAAATTATCCCTATAAACATTACTTTCAAAATATAATTCACAGTAATTTCAAAAGCTTCATCTACAGTAATCGAAAACAGTTTTATTTAGCAGCAAAAAAATTTTACTTGGGCTAAAACAGTTATTCACAAATAATTTAATAACGCAAACACTTAGCAAAACGTAAATCCGTACACTTCATCCCAGTGAAAATGTTGACCGGCGGTAGAGAACACGGACCAATATCAGCTATACCTAGCGAGAAACCCGCTATGGGCCCATGACCCGCAGTGGGCTCGCTGCCCCATGTTACTTTACTGTTAAAAGAATAACCTCAATCACCTCACGACATAATTTCCTTTGATCAAGGCAAGAGCCAGCTTCTATATGGTATTTGAGAACAAGAAACGGTCCGTAAGTACAATCATGGGCACCATGAATCTGTTCTGCACTAATGATTCTAAAAAACATTGACATTTATTCTCACCGAGAACTTGTGCTTCATGTACAGCGACCCGATGCTCTTGTTGAGGAAAGTTTCGATTTTCGCCATAGCAACGGGCAAGTCGTCTTCCGGAACCCACCCGGCTCGAAAATCATAAAAGTCATCATAAACTGAAAGACATAATTGCCTATTAGGAGTTTACACTATATAAATGGATCGTCTGAGAATAGTATCTAAATTTTTGATCGTCTGTATATAATATTATACATTATATAATACATACATTTTGGTTCGTCTGAGAATAGCATCAATACACCTGAGTTCGTCGGCTATTAAGTGCCGCTGAAATATGTCTAATAGAGCATTAATAAAATGTGTTCTAATCGGTATTTGCTAAGAGATTTAATATGTAAAAAATAATATTTTTATGACATGAAAATTACCTGCAGATTCTTTGCAGTTTGCAGCTCCCTGTTGTTGAGCATCCCGCTGCTGTGCGTTCTGATCCTGCCGCGGATGTCGGGCAGGTGGCAGCGCTGCTTGTTGACCAGATTATATCAATGACGTATTCATTTTGAACTTTCCATATCTGATAATTTATTATCACATAATATAAGTTTTAAATATATTCAGTTTGATGTGCGTAGTGATCAGCTACAATGTCGGCCATTGTCCAGTGGTTGCGATGTTTTACGATGTTGCGATACTTTTCTCAGACAAGGCAAGGTGGATCAAGTTATCGGAGCATAAAAACAAACTCCCTTCGATTATCTAATATCCTACAACTAAAAATACTCAACAAGTAATTAGGTTATTTGCAAGAAGTTATATCGCACTGTACAGCGAGATCATTAAATTTGTGATGCTGTCAATCGAACTTGAACAGTTAACGATCGTAAGTAAGGCGCGCGCTGAGAGGTCAAAGTAATTCTACCATCAGATTATAATCCTAGTTGACATATTCCATTTCGATGAAAATGCGAACGTAATATTGAAACTCTAACGTGATACAAACTTAGAAGGCAGCATTCGTCTCGTAAAGATGTGCATGGTACAATGTAATGGTACGCAAGGTACCGTGTCTTAAATTTCGTATGTAAAAGGTTGCTAATTAAAACAATTTCTGGCACTTCCGTGCAGATGTTGGGAGATTAAAACGCTCGAAGCACGTTTAGAAGAGTAAAATAACACGTTTAAAGAAGGTGTAGCAGCATATTTAATTGTGTCATTGGATTCATTGAAGAGAATATTGTTCAAGGTTGGGTTTAACTGGTTGAAGAAAAGTTGATTAGAGGACCCAAAAAAACATGGTCCGCAGCATTGCAACCGGTAGTATTGCGACGTGTGTCTTAACGAACTCATCTAGCAAACTCTTCTAGACTTGTATAGGTCTGCATAGTAAGATTTTTGCTGCATCGCATGAGGCGAGTCTTGCGCACGTACGATGTAACGGAAGGGTGTCGGGAACCGGAGGCCGCACAGGGACTTGGAGTCTACGCAGTTTTTTGCGCCTCTGGAAGCTTGACCTGAAACTGGAAGGAGAGAACATTACCCACCACGTGGCATCCTTGAAACACGCACAGTTGATTTGGAGCGTGAGGTATGTGTGCACGCAGCAGGTAAAGGTATACTACGGGTAGAGCAGGGTTGGCGATTTTTTTGATTAAAAAAAAACAAAAAATAAAAAATCAATGAATTTTTTCATGATTTTTTGATTTATTTGATTTTTTTTATTTTTTCA